ACACCATTTAGGAATGGAGTTATAAATAAAAGCACACTCTAAGAAACTCTTTTCTTCCTGTTAAGAGTCATAAGCTAAATATTTTCATTTGCATGGGAATCTAGAAAATGATTACTAAAAGATTAATGGGAAATCATAAAATATTTGTTCAGCACCATTCTCATATATTGAGTACATTTTCCCTGAGAATACTATTAGTAACTTTAAAATTGCTCATAAAACAGTATGTTTCCACTTATAAGTCCAGCAAAATACCTAATGGTGAATCCACCTCTCAGAAAATTTACCATATGCCATGATAAATGTTCTATTACTTGAATGCAGGTGTTCTAGGGAAAACTGTGTAGAATCAGATAGCTGTATGTCACTGCCATCTTCAACCTCCAAAAACCCTTCCTTTCTTACTTGTCAGTGCTAGCTACAATCTAAGGCAATGAAAGAGCCATTTGTTCCACTCAATTTAAAACCAGTATTTCTAAAGCCATTGGAGAAGCTGGCCCCTCTCATTAGAAAAGATTCTAGACTTGTCACAAATTATCCCCAGACCAGAGGCCCTGGTAAGACATGTTCCCTTTATTCTTCCTCCACCTCTGTGCAGTTTTGTATCCCAGGAAAATAAAAAATACAGTTAGACCTGGGGTTATTCATTATAATTATTTGAAGCCTTCGGCCCTACCACCAACATGAAGGTGTGAGTTCTTTAAACTAAAGAGAATCTCAATCATTCAAAACCCCCAATTAATGTCCAAACAGACCTTAATCTGTTATCTAGGATCTGGGACAGATGATACCTTGATTCTGACTTACATTAAATAATGAGCAAAGAGCTGTTTCAGTTGCCATATTCGGTGTCTGAATTATTATTATTTTTTTTTTGACAGGGTCCCACTCTGTCACCCAGGCTGGAGTGCAGTGGCATGATCACAACCCACTGCAGCCTCAACCTCCAGGGCTCCAGTGATCCTGCCACCCCAGCCTCCCGAATGGTTGGGACTATAGCCGTGCACCATCACATACCACTAATTTTTGTATTTTTTTGTAAAGATGGAGTTTTACCATGTTAGCCTTGCTGGTCTTGAACTCCTGGGCTCAAGCGATTTGCCTGCATACGCCTCCCAAAGTGCTGAGATTACAGGGGTGTGCCACCCCACCTAGCCCTTATTATTTGGTTTTAAACACTTGTTAGATTCCTAAGTGAATGGTAAGTATGTTAAGGAACTCCTCTGCCATTTTCCTATTGCAACCCACACCCACATGTATCTCCACCTCTCCCCATACACATATAAGCACACTACATATAAAACTATTGTTTTGAGTATAGTTTTTTCTTGTGACTATGTAATAAATCACTTTAAAATGATATGTCTAGGAGGAGGGCCATCATCTATCCAAAATTTCTTCTCTCCTATCTGGCTTCTCCTACCATTCCATTTGTCCTTGGTCTTTATGAGATTTATTACTAGGCCATAAAGATGTCATAATCCTGGAATAGAATGGGAAAAGTCATCAACTACAACAGTTCCCAGAACATTCTTACTCACAGCAATATTAAACATCATAAAACTTTCTTCTCACAATAGAGCTTGGAAGCTGGATGCTATTCTCAAGCTTTAGACCAACAAATTAAAATAGAAAGAGGAGATGAATGCAAATTGCAAACTGTATAGTTTTTACTCAAGAAATATCTCCTATTTTTCTACACAAACCCAAATCGCCCCCAGAATTCCATGATTCCCTTCAGATTATGCTAACACTCAATCTGTAGAGGAGAAAGAATTGTGGTAGGAAAAAAAAAATCAAAAGAGAAGATGGGAGAGAAAAACTGTAAAAGTCAATCATAATCAATTGAGGATAAAATTTAAAATTATGAAAAATTTAAAAATAAAAACACTGAAAAAGGTTAAATATATTACTGGAAAATGCTACATATAAATAAGAAAAATGAAGCACTGATTTCTCCAGCTGCTGGGGCTATTGGTTGACGGTGCTTAGCTGCATCCCTCTCTGGAAATTGCCCTTGACCAAAGAGATCCAACCAACTCCAGGTTATGCCCCATCCTGGGAGCAGCCTCACATCCAATACCTTACATCTAATGTCTAGTCCATGAAGAGATGTAAAGGCTGAGCCCTCTTGCCTCAGTTTAGGATATTTCTGCATAGACATCACAACCTTAAAGTTCCTAATGGTGTCAGCTGAGGACTTTGTGACAATTGCATCACAATTCAACTTCTCCTTTTGCCCAATCCTCTTTTCTTCCTTCCCTAATAGGTGTTGAACCTGAGAGCACAACCCAGTAAACTTGATGCCCCAATAAATCTACATCTCAGGGTCTCTTTTGCAGGAACCCAACATAGGAGAGATACTAAATATCTTTTACTTTGATGAAAACATCAGTGCCTCCTGGAGACAGAAATGCTTTTATTTTGAGATTTGGACTGTAGTTCTTTTTCTCAGTTATCAGGAATTATGAAGCCAACAATATTATCCAATAATTATTTTTATAAAATATTATAAAATTATTTCAGAGTGATATGGATTAGGTAGAAATATAGAAATGCTACATATTAAGATGTTCATTCAATATTTTAACAATAAAATGTACATTATACTCTAATTTAAAAAAATAACTAATGATTCTCTAAGAAATCTTTGATTCTTTTGAATCTCATGATTCTCTAAGAAAAATAACCCCTATGGCCAGGCGCGGTGGCACACATCTGTAATCCCAGTGTTTTGGGAGGCCAAGGCAGGTGGATCACAGGTCAGGAGTTTGAGACCAGGCTGACCAACATGGTGAAACCCATCTTTACTAAAAATACAAAAATTAGCCAGGCATGGTTGTGCACACCTATAATCCCAGCTACTCAGGAGGCTGAGGCAGGAGAATCACTTGAGCCTGGGAGGCAGAGATTGCAGTGAGCCGAGGTTGTGCTACTGCACTCCAGCCTGGGTGACAGAGACTTCATCTCAAATAAATAAATAAATAAATCAACCAACCAACCAACCAACCAACCAACCCTGCACTACTAACTAAAAAATACAGAAAGCTATTAGGATGGGGAAAAAACTAAGCAAAAATATAGAGAATAAAAGAGAGATTTTGCTAATAATAAAAGATATAAAAGCACTCTTGAGGAGCTAACAAGTGAAACACAAATGAAAGTATTTTTACATTTATAAAAACTCAGAATTACGGAGAAAGAAAATTAAAATGCATACATAATAAACGCCAATGCTCAAAATGCTTATATCTCATTAAACTAACCAAAGTTTTTATATTCTTTTTTGAATTTGATATTCTTTTCTTTTAAGGTGTTCTTTCAAAAACTTTGGTATTTTTTTCTTTCCCCAATTTCTTTTTTCTGTCCTATTGTCTTTCCCTCTAGTGTATACAGATTTCTACATGTCCAGTACATTTCCAGTGAGATAAACCAATACATTTCTCTTTCATTGAGGTACCTCTCTTGTCCATTTTATACTTCTGTCTCTTTCTTGCATAAGTCAATTTCTTATGATAAAAAAAAAAGAAATTTGAAACTGACCTTGAAGAGGCAGTTGGTAAATAGACACATATTCTCTAACATTAGTTAAACTACCACCTTCACAATTCAAAAATGAACTGTCTACCAAACAAAGTAGATGTTTCAGAGATACGCCAAGCTTGCCAAAAAGAGAAATCCGGGATGCTGATAAAGTAGCAACAGCTGATTTCATAGTCATCGAATGGTCCTGCACCTGATCCCTGTCAGGATAACAGAAGGTCTTATTTACTGTCTCTTGTCTTGCTCCATCTAAGTAGATACTGTTTTCTGTTTACTTATTCCCCAGCTTTAGGCCTGGAACAATGTTGAACATAGTGTCACAGGCCCTGGTGCCAGACAGGATCAGGGGTTGTGGAATATTTACAGTTTCCCTTCTTCTGCTTCCATAAATGAAATGGACAATCTGAATGGAGAAAATCAGGGGCCAGCTGGCTAAAAACACAGCTGACAGCAAAACACTTGGGCCCCTTCCAAGAGCTGGTGTTAAAGAGAGGCCATTTAAAGAGCAAATTCCACCTACCACAATAGTGGGCCAGGACACTCGCTGCAGGATGAAACAACTCAATTTCACTCCACATGAATTTTTGTTTCCAAAGTTTGGAACCTCGATATGCCCCCTTCTCAAGAAATTTTCTAGTCTTAGGGTCAAGCCCTTAAAATAGCCAATTTTTACACCCATCACAAATGACAAATGTATAAATTTGAGAATGTTAAACAAATTCTGTGCCATGGTGGCCAAAGTCTTATTTTTGCTTAAGTTCACGTGTGCGTGTTTGTGCCCGCGCAAGCGCGGGAGCACACACACACACACACACACACACACACTCTTAAGAAATCAAGAAGGAAAAAGAAACAAATGACATAAGAATTTAGATGGGATAGTATGGAAGACAGCCAGACACTTAAACTAACTTGAGAGGTTAATAATATATCATGAGGTCAACTGACAAAGAAACATAATTTCCTTTCTTTCTTTGTAAAAATAATGTCGCTCCAACCTTGGTGTTTAAGAAAAAATGCAATAACCTTCTTGGAGGAAAAATCACATTGAAGCACAAGATAACTAGGAGATAAATGCTAATGATATTTTTTTTGTAGGCTCTGATGATGACAACCGTGGGCTGGCCATTTATTTAACCCTAAAATCTCTAACAAGTGCCAAATCAGAAATATGCATATCACCATATTCAGGGAGATAGATTTATACTCCAAACAATTATATATATTGTGAATCATCATTTTTTTACAGCCCAGGTGCAGATGAATTTGAAGGTGATTTAGCGAAGCTGCCTCTTTTTGTATACACACATATGCATATGACTGGAAAGAGAAATGAAAGAGGGCTCCAGATATGCAAAGGCGTTCAGCTAGGTTGGTGCATCCAGCAGCAGTTCTCTGTTGCTATAATCCCGGAAACAGATAAAGCCAATAGCTTGAGACCCCCTGGAAGGCATTACCTCTATATAGGGCACGATCTTGCAGGAGAAGTCCTCCAGCAGCCACTTCTTGGTCAGCTCGTGGAAGATGACCAGCGGAAGGCAGAAGAAGATGATGAGAAAGTCCCAGAAGGCCAGGTTGGCCAAGAGGGAGTTGGAGATGCTCCGCATGTAGTAGTTGTGACATACAATGCACATCACCGCCAGGTTGCCAATGATGCCGGTCCCGAAGATCACTACGGACAGACACATGACCGCGTAGGCTCCGTAGGATTCCTGGGTCAGCGGGTAGAAAGGGTTCTTCAGTCTCACGCGCCGGTTCGTGCTGTTTCCATGGCGGGGACCCCCAGGCTCATAGATTCCTTCACCCAAGGATCCATTCTGGGCCAGCGCCCGGCCCGGGAGTGCAATTGTCCGCCCTTCGTGCCCTGCTGGTCCATTGGCCGTCTTGGGTGAGGTCTTGTGGTGGGAACCCTGGAGTTTCCTGGCTCTTCGTGGCCAGTAAAAAAGATCGCTGGCTCCGGGCACTGTCTTCACACTCTGCTCCTGGCTGCGCCCGGAAATGCCAGAGCCTCTGGTACCTTTCTCTTCCTCCTCTGAGATCTGAAGGAGGAGCTGGAGGGCCGTGGGGTTCCCTCTCCCCAAAGTTTCAGGAGGCTCCTGACCCCGAGCACCTTTCCACCGCCAGGGGCCAGGCTGTCTGGTCGGAGGTGCCGGGGCTCCGGCTGAAGACGCCTCCGCCCCTCTGCCTGCAACAGGGCCATGGCCCGGGGCCGCCGGCAGGTCCCAGGAGGGCGCCGCAAGCACTGCCGCCTCCTGCTCCTCCCTGGGTGCACGGGCTCGCAGAACGTCTCCTGCAGAATTTCCCGGTCCCCAGACGTCCCTGCCGCGGCGCTGGATCACTGTAGGTGAACAGCTCTCCCCCAGACAAGTTTCGTTCCTGGTCGCGGGGGCGAACCCGAGGGCAGAAGAGGCAGACAGCTCTAGCAGTAGCAGAAGCAGCAGCCGCGACATGCGGGCCATAAGCGCGCCCGGGGCTCGCATGGCTTGGCGAGGGCACACCCGGCAGCCGCGGCTCCTGCTTAGGATCGACACCTGCTGCCGAAGTTGCTGCTGAGAGTTAGGCACATGTCACTTACTCACCCCCGCCTGGTAGAGGGGACCGGAGATTACGGGGATAGCGGAGGATGGGTCTTGGGGGGTCACACACACGCCCCCTACAATCCTTCCTCGTTTGGCATCTTGTGCATTTCTCAGCCAAGTTCAGTCCCACCGAGGTGTGCGCTTCAAGGTTTGTAGAGGGAATGGGCTACTCCCGGCGGCTGACCTTGGAAAGTTGCAATCTACACCTGAATGTTGATTAATGTTGCGACTCGGGGAGCCCGGACGAAGCCCCAGGCTCTGCACTGCTTTGGGTGGGGTGGTGGCCTTCTTGGTAACAGTTGCTCTGCCTAGTTACATCCTTTCGACACTGCTTTATCCAGTTGCAAGCCGAGGTCTCTAGAGGAAAAGAAAAACAAGTCCCCCTCCTCCAGACGACTGGCAGTCACAACTCCGCTCCTAGCTCGCTGGAAACAGGTTGCAAACCGTCAGAAGCAGCGCTGATGCACTGGCGAAACTCTCGCCCCACCCAACCCCAGCGACTTGCGAGGCTACTGCTACCGAGGAGAAGCGGGATTCCAGCCCCGCCGCCACTGCCAAAGTGGCTTCTCCTCCAGCTCTAAGTTGACGACGGGGCGACGCGGGCTGCTGGACGGCGTGCCGCCGCAGAGAAGGGAATCGTGGGGAGAAGTGGGCGCCGCTCGTCGGTGGACGGTGTCGCCGGCCGCGGGAGCTCGTCACTGCCACAGCGGGCGCTGCCCGGGCGGGGAGGGTGGTGCCTGGAACCGCCGCGGGCCAGGCGGTGCGCGGCTGGGAAGGGGAGGTGGCCCAGCCTCTCCCCGCGCTCCAGCCGCTGCGCGCGCCCCCGAAGCCCGACGCTCGGCTCCTGGCCTCCTCCCCGTCCTTCGCCTCCTCCTCGGAGAGATACTGGTTTGTGGGGAGACGGGATCCCCTGGTGGTTCACCACTCACTAAACCCACACACGTTTCATTCAAGCCATTTGTAGCGGCTTCCACTCGGAGGAGCTGGGAGGGAACAAGGGCGGAGGCGCGGAGCCTGCGCGGCTTGAGGCTAGGGATGGGCGGGACAGGTTAATTCCCCAGATGTTGAAACCGGCCAGACAGGTCCCGGAGCAGGGGCTGGGGGCGGGTGCGAGGCGGGAATGGGGAGTGGGGGAAAACGGGAATTCGAGTGGGGTGGGGAAGGGAAGGGAAGGGAGGATGGTAGCAGGGGAGAGAGCAGCAGGGTCCCCTCCAATCTGTCGCGTATGATGCGCATGCCCAAGCTTCAGCTGGGCGGGGGCGGGGGTGGGGGTTGGGGTTGGGGTGGCGCGGGGAGCAAGAAGGTGAAACCTCACCTTCTCAGGTATTCCCCAGGGTGAGATAGGAAAGAACGGGAGCTCAGAGGTGTCAGTCGTAGGGAATTACCAGTTCCGGGATTAGGATGCGGAGGGAGAATGCTCAGGATGCACCATTACCTTTAACACCTACCATGGGTTGCTTCGTAGCATCCACAGCACAGTGGAAGTAGTTGTTTTTCATGAAGTAGTGGGAAATTACTGGAGGCAGAAAATTACTTGAGCAGCACTCCCAGCACGGCTATCCATGTCTTCCCAACCTTTCTGCTATACCCCACAACCCTGTCAAAACTGTCAGGGTATAGCTAATAAAATAGACAAGTTAATGAAGAGAAAATGATACAGGAATAAACACATTCTGAATTTTTTTAAAGCAACACATTTAGAGAGAAAGGAGAAAATACAATGGAACATACGATACCAATTGTGGTAAATAGAATAATGAGCCCCCACAAAAGAGGTCCAAATCCTAATTCCTAACACCTGTGAGCGTGTTACCTTATGGGGCAAAAGGGATTTTGCCAATAACATTTAGCTAAGCCTCTTGAAATAGGGAGAGTATCATGACTACCCAGGTGGGGACATTATAATGACAAGAGCCCTTACAAATGAGAGGCAGGAGGGTAAGAGTAAAAACATAAACACAAGCCAAGTAATGTGGGCTATCTGTGGAAGCTAGAATGGGCATAAAAAAGTATCTACAAGCCCATTTGAGACTTCTGACTTCCATAACTATAAGATAATAAATGTGTGTTGTTTTAAGCCACTAAATTTGTGGTCATTTGTTGCAGCAGCAATAGTAAACTAATACACCATTTAATCTAAAAATGGAGACAACAGGAGTAATTGTATAGAAAAATATAAACTACCAAAAATAGTTCAAGAAGAAAATTTTCAGAAACTGTAATATAGCTATAACATTAAAGAAATCAAATCATTCATCAAGATCTACCCAGAAGCAAGCACTGGACCTTAACATGTCCTACGGAATAAATATATATTTATACAAAACGTTTGAAAGCTACTCAGCTCATTGTGAAGCCAGAATAACCTTAATATCAAAATCAGACAAAGCCAGAAACAGGGAAAAAAATAAGCTAACAGAACAATTCATTTGTACATTAATTAATTTATTTATATACACTAATTCCTTCTCTCAAATTCACTACTTCATTAGGAAAATGCTCTGCTCAAGTTACTTAGTGCAGAACAATGAATAAAATAAGTTCTGCTCTCACTGAATTTACATTCTTTGTGTATTCATAAAAAGGACTAAATAGGCTCGTGTGTATCACCAAGACTGAATCTCAGAAACATAAACGTAAGGGAAAAATGTAGAACTTGATTTGATGTCTTAACTATATAATGCTACCATTTGTGTACCTCTTAAAATGCACATAAAAGAAATTGATAATCATATATTACATGGTATATCATATAAAATATGTGAATGGAATAAATACATATCATCTTTAGAATCTCAGTCACCTCAGAAAATAGAAGAATGTTAATGGGGTGGAAGGAAGCTTCTACTCTAGTATTTTGTTATTTTAAACAAATTTAGAAGAGGGAAATTTGGATTAATAATGGAACAGGAAAAATATGTGGCCAAAATAAAATCAGTGATATCGCTTCCCTTCTCATCTCATTAGCTTGGAGTTTAAGTTATACATGCAAGCTATGTTTCTAACCTTTTTCCTCTAGACCACATAGTTGTGCCGCTAATTTTTACCCCTACCCAGAAAAGAATCAGGGCTGAACAGGGAAAAATCTCTACCTGCTTCCTTAAAAGCTCCGTTGTAATTCACACATGCTTGGCTCAGGGTTGGGCATCATTCTCAAAGTAGTGGGCTATAGAACTCAGATACCCTGCTTGGAGAGGGACTGGGGAAATTCCTGAAGAAGGGGCTACCTGTGTTTGTCTGAGATGATATTGGTAAGTAGTCTCTTCCTTAACCTGAAAAATGATGCCCTCCTCCTTGGACAGCTGCCAAGTTCTGGTTCTCTAACTTATTCTGACCATGAATAAAACCATGGAGAGCTCTAGCCACTCTTAATTGGAACCTGGATCAATATCAATTATTTATATTTTTGGAAACACAATTTCCTCATCTGTGTAATAAGGATACTAATGCCTACTCTTGGCTCTGCCCACCCAAGTTGTTATGTGATTAGGTAGATATGAAAAGATTATATAAAGTGTAAAATATTTATTACTGTTGCTTTTGGTAGTTCAACTTTGTTGTTTTTAGTGAAATTTAAATGTCATCAAAAACACATAATCCTTGAAAAAGAATATGCTTGGTAAATAAAAGTATAAAGTAATAGGTTTTTAAGAACATTTAGAATGCATTCCCTGCATAAAGAAAAACATGTCTTCAAATATTTTTCCAAAGCTTAGCTCAGCTGTGACTATACTTTTTTAAATGAGAATAGTCACAACTCATTCATTTGTGTATTTTATTCTTTAGAAATATAGATCAGAAAAGAAATTAGCTAATCATTGTCTGGTTTACGTCTGAGGTCATTTATCTGTATAAAGGAAACTGATTTGAACAGGGATTTTTTTCTGTGTCAGCATTTCACAAGGTTTATAATACATAATATTGATTTTTTTTAATACAAAAAACATGTAAATTATTACCTGCCTTGGCATTTTTATAAAATCTATTACACTCCATTTGGTGTTTGGTGTGCTGAAATAAGACACATTACAGAATGAGAGAAATTACTATTTCAAGTTTTAAGATACATCATTGAACAGAAGCTTTACCCAGCACACAATTCACTTCTCAATTTTCTTTCCTTTTTGCCTCAGAGAATTCAAAAGGGTCATTTTTCTAAAAGAAACATCCCACCAATAGATTATTATTTTCTGAGATTCAAAATGTGTCTGTTTTCCAAATGGTTTGTGGTGGCAGCCTCTCTGTCACTGAATTACTAATTGTTCATTTGGAAACCTCCATTGAACACCTCCATTGATCACCTCTCTCTTTTGCATATACAAGAGCTAATTATCATTAATGGGTAGGAAATGGTAGTGCTTGGACTATAACACCAGTATGGTTATGTCTAACAAAATCAAAGTATTTAAAACTTATAATAAAACAACAATAATCAAAATAGTCCTTTAATTATTCCAGACAAAAATGTAGCCATTGGGCTACATAAGATATGTTTGAACCATACTTGGACCAGTACACTAATTGCATAGCCAAGTCCTTTTGGGTTTGGTTGGGTTTGCTTTGTTGTTGTTTGTAAAGAAACTTGGATGCAAAAGGGTGAAATTGAAGATGAATTAACACATTCATAACCAAACATTCTCAACCTTTCACATTTCTTTACAGAAATGCTTGTGAAATGCATTCCCACGTTTTGATCAACATTCTTTTTGAAGCAAAGATAATTGTGATACTTAGTTGGCCCTCAGCCAATAGCAATGAGCAGGAGATCAGAGCATCTCAGGCTTCTGCCTCTCATGACTTGTCAAAACTGTGTATTTTCCCTAGCTAGTACATTAATTTTAAATCTTATAAAAATTACAGTAAGCTGAACTCTTTAACAATTATCCAAAATAAATGTGATATAAAGATAACATATTTTACTTCCTTGTCTGAGAACTTGGGTCCAAGCTGTATGCTGTATCAACAAGATTCCTTCTGAGACTGTCTAAAACAAATCATCTTATTCTGTACTGTTGCTCTATCTCTGACCAAGCATTATTCTTTAAATTCGTTTTCTGTATAATGTTGATACTGGATAATACACAAGAATAAAAGCAAGTCAAGCCAAACTACAGAAGGGTCAGCCTGGTTCAAATAACAAATGCTAGTAAATTGGAATTTTTAGTATTCTGACTAGAATGTAATTTTTGTATACAAAATTAAACTCATCAGTAAGGAAGAACATGGATTTCTATATGAAAAGTGAAAAGCTGAGATAGCTAGAAGGGATTTTAAAAGAGAATACAACATTGATTTGGTTTTCTTGGCAACCTATTAAATTTTAGCTCCAGTAAAGAAATCAATTCAATGAACACATCTAAGACTTGAGTCTTGGCATATTTAGCAATTATTTTCCTGATTAGTGGTTGAAATATAAATAGTACTAAAACAATATTTGCTTTGTGAGAGTTATAAAACTACCCTAAAGACTGGTCAAACACAACAACAAAAAGCTTTTCCAGTATCATCTTCCTTATTTGCTTGTTCACTTTTTAGAATCTTCTACAGATTTTCTTTATTTGGATTGTGGTCCAGAAAGAAAGAAAGAAAAAAAAATATTGTTCATGGTGAAAAGTATCACTGTTTTATATTTAGTTTTTTTAACTCGCTCAGGATGTTGAGAGGGTGTGACTCAGTATTATCACGACAAATTGACCTGATAATGTAAACATTTTGAATGATCCAGCTAATAAAATTTTATGATTTGGCCCAAGGTAATCAAATTAATCAACGATGCTTGAGATTACTAGTTTCTAGTGTTTGCATTTTCTTTCAAGGCCCCAGCTGGTCCATGGAATGCTTTTTCAAAACTTGTTTCCTGTTTACTTCTTCATGAACTCAATATCCTTTCCTGAGCATCCACTTTTAGGAGTTGAGAAAACTTTTGTTTCGGAAGTTTTAGACAATAAGGAAACTGATTATCTCCTCTTGTATTAGAGAGACTACACACATGTGATAGTATAATTGAAGATCCTTTTGGTGGTCCAAAAGAAGCACCTCCTAGTGACTGCAAAATGTTCACAA